TTGATGTTGGCTTGTTCTGATGTACGACTAGAATTCATTGCGTACAGAACACCAATAGACCAATTACAGATCTTATCGTAAGTTGACGATGTTCTAGGTTGCGAAGAAGGATTTCAGACCTGAAGATGGAGACAGAATATTTATCCGAAACGCTTCTCTATTCTCACATAACTGCATGTGTATTTGTTTCAAATAATCAACTCGGTGTCTTCGAAAACGACCTCATGATTCGTTCTCCCTCAGAGGGTAAGGCCGGCCAAAGTCTCGCACCTAGCGACCTGGTGAAGTTCACGCGAGATACACTCGTGAGTGTACCTGTGTCTGCTTTTCGTTACGATGCTCAACTCTTGAGAAAGGAGGCTATCATCAGCAGAAAAACTTTCACCAGGACACAGAATGGCGTCTCTGCGGACTGCATAATAACGTTATAATGTAACGTATAACATTACCCCGGGCGTTCTTCATACAGTGGCCAGAGTCTCTACTTATACAGCGAAGTCTTCTTCTCCTTCTCCATAGCCTCCTTTTTTTTTTCCTTCTTTCCTTTTTCCAGAAGACGCTGCAGTTCATTGACGAAAGTCATCAGTATCCATAAGTAATAAGTTTGCACGGTAGAAACGAGAACTGCGGAGGGGGAGGGTAGGGGGTGAGACGGCACTTTCGAGAGTGAAGTATGTTTTCTATAAAAGCCCAAAAGAAGCCAGAAGTTGCGGGGGAGAGGGGGGGAGGATGAGCTGGCAACATGATTTCCTTGGGTCACTGTATATAATTTCCAGCGAAAGGAAGTGGTTACGAACGTTGGTGAGAAATTTCTGATTCTACAGATGGACTGCGCTAAAGCCGAAGGCCCATTGACCACTCCCTGTTTTATACGTCGTCAGGATTCAACTGGATCTGGTCAGACTTCAATTCAGGAATGATGGAGAACGTTACGCGAAATAGTGACCTTTACGGAGCAGACCTCAGATGAAAACCAAGACTTGAGTTCTGCTGCGTTGCTAAGGTCCAACTTTGTAATACTTTTTATTAAGATCCATATTCACCCCCTTAAATCCCGCTAATAATATAAGTACCACTGGCTTTAATATTCAGTCAGTAGCATTTTGTCCACAAAGAGTCTTTGTGGGTTTCGTACGATTTGAATATAAACCGCGATCATTTCCTTAAACAGCATAAACCAAGTGATCGTTTTCTTTGAGGTACGGACTGAATTTTTGTGTTAGAAGACCTGATTTGACTATCGACAAATTGTAATAACATTAAAATAAAATAAAATACTCCCCCTCCACCATGTATTTTCTGAAGAATAAGCAGACGTTATAACAACTAGACAAGATGATTACGAACAACGCGATTTAAGTTACAGAATCAGCAAATATTGTAAAACACTGTCATGGTTTTCACTTCTGACAGGCTAGGAGTAATTAAACATTGGGAATTTTTAAATTCCTTCGCCGACATAAACTACGGTTCCTTTTCTTGATATTTCTTCCAATTTTTCCTTGATTTTTATTGTAAATATATACGTTTCTGTACACGGGAACGTCCGAAGGATTTATAAACTGTTTATACACGTCAGGAGCAGAAATAACGAAGTTAGAAAATATTGCCAACAGGACGATAAAACCGCGCAACACAGCACGGGACACATAAAGAACGGAAATATGAAATATTCATATTCGTTATTATTTTAACCAAGCTTTCTCCGTCATGATTCTTGTACATTGATCGGTCGCTATGGCAACCATCCAACGTTCTATATATGTTCCGCCAGGCCTACTACAAAGCAAATTACTTAAATGATATTATCTGTGCTTTGACAGCTGATACACGCAGGGGTTATGTGAACAGACACTATAAAAAAGAATTGTCATCCCATTCTTTTCCTCATATACATGACATTTCGAGACTTGGTTCTTCTACCCATATAATTAAGTGATTAGTGAGATGAGGCCCCGAGGAAACTGATTGTAACTCAGCTGACCAAGAAATTCCTCGCCTTTTATGGAAACAAAGAGTTCATCAACGTGTTCAAAACAGCCTGGAAGAGGTCTCTATCCCGAGCCAGATGAATCCAATGCACACGGTTTCTTTCTAATTAAATTCAGCATCCCTATCTCTGTACACTTCAAGATCTTGGCAGTGGGTTCTTTTCAGACTAAAATTCTGAACGACTTTCTTATTTCTTCCACGCGCGCTACATGGCCAACCCATCCCATATTCCTTGGCTTGATCGATTTAATCACATCTAATAAAGAGTATAAACTATAAAGCTTCTACCTACGGGACTGCAGCAAGCCTGGAAGGACATAACTCGATGGTAACCTTTGGTAACATGGCCGCAGAGAGCTGAGAGCGTTTGGATCTGCCTAGCTCACCGCTATTAAGATTATGGGACTGTACGGAAATTTTAAAAATCAAAACATGTAGCAGTTGGAGCTGAGAGAGATACAGCAGTGAAATGTTACTGCCCGTTGCTTCCAACTACAGAGCAATATATTTATTTATGAAAAAGAAAAAAAAGTATCTCTGCACAGCAAGAAAGATTCTTGTGTTTTAGTAGACTGGAGAAATAACCAGGACAAATGTACTGTGCAGTCATTTTGTTGGGACGACAAACTTTTCTGAAAAAGCACGTTGAAATATTGTTCTAAATATATCAACCCCTCACATCCCCTTCCACACAGGGTTTTTATTTTCTTTTATAACGATATCAGACCAGCGCATCTCGTGCAGCGAAGTCTTATAGAATCTGATAGTCGTTTATCGCTCTTTAATAATTTAAACACGAAACCTCATCACAACGCTCACAAAAGCCAGACATCGGCTCATATCCTGAGGCATATAGATTCAGTCCACTTCCTCACACCCTATTTACTTAAGATACATTTTAATATTATCCTCCCATCTGATTTCTTAGAGTGATCTCTTCCCTTCAGACTCTCCAATCAAGGCAGTGTACGCATGCTTCATGCACGTTACATACCCGGCTTATGGTTACTTATTGAAACACGTGGGCGATGTAACTATTACTGAAACCGGTGGTATGAGTACAGAATTGTTCATGAAGTTTAGCTATAAACAAAGCAGTTTCTTTCTAAAAAAAAAAAGGGGGTTCTTCTCAAAATTCTTTCTATAAACAGCAGTTTCGAAGTCATGGCATTAAATATCGGTTTATAATAAATAACTCTACTTAACTTCACGTAACGATTCGTCTCAAATATTAAGCAAGTGAAGAATATCACAGATAGTAACGATTCGTCTCAAATATTAAGCAACTGAAGAATATCGCAGATAAAAAAAATCATTTTATGCTGCGCGAATTTTATTTTTCGTAGTGGAAAACTGAGCCCATGTGTGCGCCTTCCTTGAAAAGCTGGTAGTCCCTCAGTGGTTCACGAAATTTCTTACGTATATAGAAACCGATGTCTCATAACCGTATTCACAAAACCTCTTTTTACGCTGCCTCGGTTGAATCCGATCCACACCTTAAATTGATCGATCTAAAAATCACACACTTCTCCAATTGGTTCGTTCGTCTTGTACTGACATGGCTGTTTATAAAAGGCGTACGAAAACAAATAAAGGATAGAAGAATCTCAGTACAGAGCCAAGGACCAATGATGAAATCTTTACTGAGGGCCAATGAACTGTGAAATGACAAATAAAATGTTGCGAGCAAGCAAACAGGTGCTACTGAGGACCCGCATTCCTAGTTAATGCCAAAGCTCACTCCCTGTGTTGACAGTTCACTTGAAATTCACAATGTGTCTCTGCCCGAACAATCAACGTGGCCGGTCGACTGTGTGTCGGACACAGGAGCTTTCTCGTCGAGTCTCCTCAATGAAACTGAGGCTAATACAGCTGGTATATGTAGCTGGTACAGCGTCATTACATTAGCAACTTTGGATTTTACAGAGTGCATAAAAGATACCGATACTTAAACTAACGAATGGATTTAAATCCCGTATAAAATTAGCAGAAGTGACTTTAGGGGTTTAGAATATTTACACCGATATATAAATTACCATTTGGTGTTCCATCAGTAGATACATGTTATATTATGATATACCATGTTCTTAATTTGCACTAAAATTCATCAGAAAACAATTCTTATATAATATTATATATTATAACAATTCTTGAATTAAATGTTTTCAGACCAGACTTTTTTTTAAGACGTTGACACCCGGTGAATTATAAAACACATTCCAGGCATCTTGTGGTTCACGAATGTTCATTACAGTGCTCACAAAATACCGCAATTTGATCCAACTGAATCATGTAACTTCCTCGGCCATAACAACTATCAACTGGTTAACGCAGTTTCAAGAAATAATCGCTGTTTGTTCTGAGAATGCAAACAAACCACCGGCCTTTAAAAGATTTTAAAGTATCTTACCACGTAACAAATAATTTGTTTTACCAATATTATAAGCGAGAATATTATACAAAATTGAATACATTTTAATATAATTCCCAAAACAAAATTTCAGACAGACACACAGAGAGATAATCGGCTTATTAGTCGTTAATAAACTTGGAAATGTGCAGGCAGACTCTACGCTCGGAATTGGTGGCGGCCAAACTCAGAACTAAGAGAAATTTATATTTCAAAACACACAAACAATAAATCAAATCAAAACAGAAATGAATTTTGGTTTGTGATATGGAGAATATGTGGACACCACATCTGATTCAGACAGACACGTATCAGCGCGTCTTAATAATCACGATAATAGGAGAGGAAAAGGGCGACCGGAAATGATTTCTTCTTATTCTCCTTCTGTCGTCAATTAGACCATTGTTTCAGTAAGGAACATAACATTACGAAATATACCCGTAGGCGGGCAGCTCTGGGAAACATTCAATGTATCATCAGTGCTGGAAACATTGTGTCGAAAAAAATACCCTTTGAATGAACACAGTAAAGAAACGTACTAGATTACCTTCGAAGTAGGGACGTACTCGGGGCGTCTCTGCATCGAATCCCGGCGGTGTTAATGTCACTGCCGAAACTTTTGGAATTCTCCGGAGGCCCGTCCGAACGTCGCACGAGGGAATCTGCAAACAAAGGAACATAACTGACTTTTACATAACCCCCAAATCACTGTTCGCAATCACAGAAATTCTCTCTCCATTTACGACCTGCAAAAACACAGCGACCCATACAAAATCTTCATTAATTTTGAAGATTTCTGTCTTCTGGGTTGTTGCGCCGTGTAGTCTGGTCGATGTTTACCACCGTTTCAGAGGTCATACTGCCTCCATCCTCAGGGCGATGAGTATGAAGATTTCTCTCTTCTGGGTTGTTGCGCCGTGTAGTCTGGTCGATGTTTACCACCGTTTCAGAGGTCATACTGCCTCCATCCTCAGGGCGATGAGTATGAAGATTTCTCTCTTCTGGGTTGTTGCGCCGTGTAGTCTGGTCGATGTTTACCACCGTTTCAGAGGTCATACTGCCTCCATCCTCAGGGCGATGAGTATGAAGATTTCTCTCTTCTGGGTTGTTGCGCCGTGTAGTCTGGTCGATGTTTACCACCGTTTCAGAGGTCATACTGCCTCCATCCTCAGGGCGATGAGTATGAAGATTTCTCTCTTCTGGGTTGTTGCGCCGTGTAGTCTGGTCGATGTTTACCACCGTTTCAGAGGTCATACTGCCTCCATCCTCAGGGCGATGAGTATGAAGATTTCTCTCTTCTGGGTTGTTGCGCCGTGTAGTCTGGTCGATGTTTACCACCGTTTCAGAGGTCATACTGCCTCCATCCTCAGGGCGATGAGTATGAAGATTTCTCTCTTCTGGGTTGTTGCGCCGTGTAGTCTGGTCGATGTTTACCACCGTTTCAGAGGTCATACTGCCTTCATCATCAGGGCGATAAAGATTTCATACTCACCGCTGTGAGAACCTCAAGTCTTACATTCATTAATTTTGTTTCGCCTCAATTTAAAAAAAAAAACTTGGTAATGTAATTAACAGTCTGCAGTTAGAGACTTATACGTGTTTCATATAATTAACTACATGTTTCGCAAACTACTTGATACCATCTTCAGGTCCTTCGCATATTACAAACTAATTATATAACACGTTTCGGTCTTTGACTGCCTGTCCTCCACGTGTATTACCAAGGTAACCACAGACACGGCCTCATAACCCAGAAGACTGCAATTCGAGTCAAAAAAATGTCATTCTACTTCCTTTGAAAATGCTGGCAATAGATAAGACCATAAAGTACACAGCATCAAACCATACGTAGATTAGTGAATAATGAATCAGAAAGGACGTGAAAGGAAGTGATCGTGTGGTCCCGGCGATTGTCTTGAGGGACTGAGAAAAACTACGAAACATTATTTAGGAAGGCAGGTCTCCGGGCCTATACTGGAGCGGAGAGCAAAACCCTGACAGAACTTTGCAGTCCACATTTCTCCCCACATGAACGTTCTGTGACCACTCTCGGAGCGATTTGACTAGCTCCCACTTCGTCTGTTGTGCCCGATCGTCTGCTGTTTTGGGATGTTGCCCTCATGAAGGTTACTGACTGACAAGTACAGGGCAGACAGCATGCAAGAACGAGGCATGAAACAAGTGAAAACCTAAAAAAAACCCTGAAGAAGGTACCAATGCATGTCGAAACACGGTGATAGATACGTGGAACGGGAACCAGAAATGAAATGAATCAGAAAGCAGAGGGTATTTCGTCGAAATCAAGATGCGGGCTACCAATTCAATGACGTCCGTGCGTCGCATTCGGTATGACCCGGGGTTCAAATTTTGCAGTTTTTATTAAGGGATCAGCTCATAGTCAGTCGCCTCCTGATCTGTGTCTCAGAACGAATTTATCTTCATTCTTTGATCTGATAATTAACATCCGTCACCTTAATAGTTAACTTGTCGAATTTACTGTCATATTAATATTTACTTATAACTTATAAGTTGTCATCTTTACAGCCTACGGGTATGAAACTTTGCAGTAGACAACATTTTTGACACGGTTAGTAAACGGCGCTCACGTGACTGAACACAGCTTGAACAAAACGTGTCTTATAATCATGTACGGTCGTTAAAATAAAAGAATTGTTTGCTTTTCCTGAAATCTCGTAGGGAATTAAGAAGCGAGAACAATAGCCGATCTGCCTTTCCTCCCAATACGCAACTTACAACCGTGTCCACGGGAACAATGGCGCTGCTGCGCTGAGTTTCCTAACGCCGTGGAATTTCCTCAACTTCTTCGTACGAGAGGAGTGTTCGGGGACAAAGGGGTAAGTGACCCAGTGACAGACAGGGCAGGACTCTGGGGTCAAATAACCTTTACGGGGGTTATTTTTTTTTGTAGTGTTCTGTCTGACGACAGGGCCATATGAACAGGATCCTTCCATCCTTTTCTCGGACTGGGACCTGTTCATATACGTTCTTGGCAGATGATCCAGAAGTGGTTTGCCATTGCCTTCTTCTGTGTGTGAATGGAGTAATTGTTGGGATGCCACGGAGGAAAACTCCGTGTTGCCTAGACCACGGCCTTGCCCAACACAAGTTATAAATTCGGGCACCGCCAGGAATCGAACCCGAGACCCCAGGGCCAGCGTTCTAACCGCTAGACCACCGTGGCTCACGGAGATTATAAACGCCACGATTTCCAGTTTTTATTTAAGAAGATGCCTGCCTTCCTGGATGTTGCGTCCTGCAGCCACGTTCCCGTCCAGGATTTTATATCGATGTCGGAGTCGGTACATTTGTACCGACGCCGACTCCACAGCCCTGCTAGAACAAGATACCGACGGTAGAGACAACAGTCCGACAACACGCATAACGAACGCGGGTACTGTGAATAAGACAGAAGTTGGAGGGGTGGGTTGGGGGTTGATCGAGAGGGTGTAGTAAGGAAGTAATGTCTGAGGATTTGCATTTCATCAAGAGATGGTCCTAACTGCTACAGCGGGAGTCGCAGGCCTAATCAGCCATTAACGGAAACGCGTCCTAAGTCCTCGCTCCGATAAAGCTGTTCCTTTGCTTGTAGCCAGCATCGAGACGACTCTGAAACTCTTTGCCGGAGCGCCTATATTCCATGCTAACATAACATCGCGTCACTGCACGCAACATCTCCATATCTTACACGGAAACTTTTCTCAAGCCTCGGGTGGTGGCGAAATTTATCCCAGGGGAGAAGGTGGTATGGTGCGGATTGGATCAATCTGGTGGCAGGCTTTTGTGAACACGGTAATGAACTTTATGGTTCCACGAAAGCTAGGTAATTTCACGTCTCTCTGAGCTTCTCTATATGGGATTAGGAATTTATGCCTAATTCTTGTCTAATATTTCAACTACGTTTATCATACGTAATTCTTTATCCTGCGTTCCTATTTCTTCCCGTTTGTGTTTTAACCCTACGAAGTTGAAAAAGAAAGAGAGATAAGGATAGCAGTAGAGTAGAAGCAAAGTGAGTGACACTTAGATTCCTGGGGGCGAGGAGAGAATGAGCATCTTATAGTTAGAATGTTCCCAGGCAATGCCCGCTCGTCCTTCTGGTAAGGATTAAAGTAAGGGTGAGGACGTTAGGGCGATAATTAGTGACACCCTTCGAAGCCGAAGCTCGTCTAAATAGCATTTACGAATCCAGTCCGTACCGCGAAGAAAACACAACTCTTCACCATTACGAAAATCAAGTGGTTAACGCGGGTTAAGAGAATAATCGCTGTTTATACTGAGAATCATACAAAGCACATAAATAATGTCGAGACTTCAGGTTATCACGGAGGCGAGAGTGAAGATGTGTGTCTTCTGGGATGTTGTGCGTACATTAAACACCTGTAAAACATCGGTCATTTTCTACGAGTGCCAGGCTACATGACGCAACATCCCACATGACATGTTAGTGATTTACTGTCATCTGAAGTGCGTCTTGTTATGTAAGGAGAGATCACTATTCAAACAAAACGACTTTATCTGTGACTGCAGAACCGGTAACTAATTCACTAAACTAGTACAAAATGTGAAATAGCCGTCTATTCCCAGTAACTCCTCGAAATAAATGCCAACTCGAAAGGTAGTCAAGAAATTCCCCATTATTTATGGAACTGGAATGTTCATTACATTGTCCTCAAAAGCCAGCCACCGGCCATAACCTCAAACATATAAATTTTATCCAAGTCCTATTCCTCTTCGATCTACTTTAATATTATCCTCTAATATACTGTTCTGTAATACAAGCTGTTTCTTCCATTACAGTATTCTACCTAAAATTCTGCATATATTTATCACGAGTAGAATGCGTGCTGCATGTACTGTTCATCTTGTTCTCCTTAACCAGATCTAATAAAAGTTACAATATTTCCAGTCTCTTCATCCAACTTCGGTCCGAATATTCTCAAAAACCTTCAGTCTGTGCCCTTCCTTCACAGACAGACAAAACAGCGGATAAAGTTGTAGTTTAAACTTAAATCTTTATATTTCTGGGTAGAAGGTGATGCGGATTCACTGTTAAGTGGCACTGGGACATATCCCAGTTTTATATCCGTCGTTAAAATCCAAGTTCTCACATCTCAACCATGAAGCTTCTTCTATCCGCTGTACCTTTATCTACTGAGCTTTCTTTTACCAGTGTTAACGTGTTTTTAAGCAAATAGCATTTGGTTTAAACCAGCAGTCAAAACAACTGCATGCACATCCACCCCTCTACACCCCCTCCCCCACCCCCAACGCGGTCCCCAAGACACTCACCGACTCTGGTCTGCATTACGTTGCAAGTCACAGGAGTCTTCATGGACCCTGGTTCGTATCCATGTTGATGTTGACTCTATCCTGTCTTCAGAAATGAATTTGACCTTACAATGTCGATCAATTTTCTTATTTCGTTCTCAATTTAAAATGAGAGCTGAATAAGCTGGAGATTTCCAGTTGCATAACAAAAGTCGTGAAGGAAAATTAGGTTAGTAGCATCATAACATTTTAGTAATGATAATAAATAATTTAATCTTTGTTCTTCCAGTGAACTGGCTTTAAAATGCCAGTTGAGCACATAATTCATGAAGATTAATCTAGTAATGTACAAGCAATTAAAGGGGCTTATTAA